GATACATGGTAATGTCCCACCTGTCCCTGTACTATGCTTTTAAGTGGGGACTGGAGCAAGTCACGCTGGCACTCGTACAGTGACAGCAGAAACTCTAGACTCCAGAGCAGGGAGGCCACAGGAAGGCGGCATGGGCAGAGCTGAGCATCGGGAGCCCGGGTGTGGCCCTGGGGAGGACCTGAGGCCGCCGAGGCGCCCTGGCCTCTTTTACCCAGGTGCTTGGGGCTGCTCCCCCTCCTGGCACCTCCACCTCATAAGAAGCTGAGAACATGCATCAGCCGCTTCCAGACACTACACGAGGTCTGCATGACCCGCGCGTTTTCAACAGGCTTGGCAGAACACTCAGCAAGGTACCAACAAACAGACTGTGACGTGAAGCACTCACCTCTTTTTGGCTGCATGTTTTAGGCCAAAATTTCATTAAGCCCCTAATGACCTTAAATTAAAAGAAGAAAAAAATAAGCAGAATTTATTTTTCCACGTAGGGTTTCAGGAAAGGTACTTTCATTTGTTTTATGGAAATGTGAAAAAAAAAAAATACTTACTGGTTCTGTGAGTGAAGGATCTTTCTCTAGAAATTGTACTATACAGTACGCCAACTAAACAAAAACAAAGGATAAAATTTTAAATTCTATACACTAAGGGCTGAGAAGACAAAGAATGTTAAAATTTTCTAAGCCAATTTCAGGTTCTGGTTCTAAGTTCACAATCAATTCAGTTTAACCACCATAAAAGTACATGCTGTCAACCAAAATTCTAGTCGCTCTGCTTCACTTAGTTCTAGGACACAAGGTCGCGCTTCGTGGGCCCAGCATGGGCCTTAACTTGTGATTTATGATCATCCTGCCGTGGCCTTTCAAGCAGCTGGGAATACAGGATGTGCCACACCCCGGCTAAAAGCCACTTTTTCAAGCTGAAGACCCACACTAGGACAACTCTAGGGTAGGCTTTTATGGGTAATAATGAGAGGTGAAGCAAGCAGCTAACGAACGGCAGAAGGACGCCTCATTTCCTGCACTCCGAGGGTCCCGCTGACACACGATTCAGGCTTCGGAGCACGGGCTTCCCTCCTCGCTGACACCAACAGTACAGGGCACACTGTGCCGCCGCCTCCTCACGGACAGAGACACTCTCCAAATACCAGCACATGGCTACTAACACTGCTTCTCAGAGGATAAGGATCCACCACGGTTAGAAGCTGGAGAAATGTAGAGAAAGCCCTACACCCAAAGCAAGTGCAGGAAAGCAACAGTTCTTTTACACGATCACAAAACATTGACAGCCCACTGCCCACACTGAAGGCATGATGCAAGGGGCTTGCAAAGATTCCTGGACAAGAAATCACTCTCACAAACATCAACATTTGTGATCGCTTATAAATTAGAAGCATACGGACTAATTCTTCCTAGAAATCCAGAATTTCACCTTTAAAGAAGAATTTAGGAAAACGTGTGAAGATTCTTTGCAAACTCAAAACACTTCCCCTGGAAGGAGGAGGGAGTTGCAGGGTTTGAAATACCAAAAATTATCACTAGAGCATCTATCTGCCCCCAGTGACATCCTTCCCATGCAAGGGAGTGTTAGTCCAGAGATGAGGGTGCGGACAAGAGAGCACATGCTTTTCAAAGTAACAAATGCTTAAAGAAAAAAGATGTAAAAATGTAGATAGACTGTTTACTGGTGAGAGACTTTATTTGTACAACGTGAGAAAGAAATGCTGAGCAAAGTAGAGGAATGGGCAAAAGGGCGGTGGATGAACTGATGCAAAACAAGGCTGGAACAAAAGACTTAACACCAAAACTGCCGAGCGCAGCGGCACATGCCTGCATCCCAGCACTCAGGAGGCTGAGGCAGGAGGACTGCCACCAGTTCAAGGGTAGTCTGGACTCCACTGTGAATTCCAAGCCAGCCTGGACTACAAAGCAAGATCTTGTATCAAAAAGCAAAACCAAACCAAACATTAAAAAGGAAGGCACAGCACCCAAGATCTCAGTCTCATGAGCCCACACATTCTACCGCAGCCCAGATGACCACCCAACACAGAAAATATAACTAGTGTAAGCATGGGCAAACTGCTGAAGGTCTCTGGAACAAGACTGGGCAAAGGCCGCTCCCTTCTAAAACCGTTCCTACAATCCTACTGTGTAAAGGGGAAAAAGTTATACATTTTTGTTGTCCTCAGAGTATAAATTTTAACAAGTTGGTTTTTTCCCCTCTTTGGTGACATGACCTCACCCGTGCCAGGCAGGTACTGTACCACTGAGCTAAACCCCTGGCACACAAGTCCACTTTTGGAGATAGAGAAATATTAAAAGAAATCAGAATTTTTAAACATTTCATTTTGCTTCAGAAGTAAACTGTACCTGGGCGTGGAAGAGTGACAAGCTCCTGACCGTGTGTAAGGGGATCAACACTTTCACCAGGAACTGTTTGTGTTCTGCCTTCAGAGGCAAAGCAAAACCATTGATAATACTAGGGAGAGAAGAGACCTGGGTCAGCAAAGCTAGCACAAGATGCGACATGGGGACAAGCTGTTCCTGTGAGATTGGATAAAAATCTGCATGGGTTTAATTTTGTTCAGAAACATAACCAAACCCTAGGCCAACAGCACTCAAGACTTCTTAGTCACTTCAAGGGCAACCTGAAGAGGGAAGGGTTTATGACAAGTACATTTGTTCCTGATTGCCTGAGGACAGCTCCTGGCCCTTGAGACTAGGAAACCCGTTTATCCCAAACCTTCATTTCTCCTCTCCTCTTATCCCTGTTAACTGTCTGCCTGGCTTTCTTCCTCCTGCCCGGCCCTGGGAGGTCACTGAGAGAAATGTAGATGCCATGGCCCCTTTTACCCTTGTGAGGGAGGAAAGGCCATAGGACTGCGGCCCCAGTCCCTCCCGCAGCCTCCTCTGTGCACAGGGCCCTGCTCTACAGCGCCACTGTAGTCTGCACCAAGCAGCGGCCCTTCTAGAACCCCACCGGGCACACGGTGCTGCTGAAAATGGCAATCCTACTGGCTCATTTTAAACTTCCTCTCAACAGATACAGCAAAGGATAGAGCCGCTTAGAAACTAGGCTTAGGGGAGTGAGACGTCTCAGGAAACTGGCCTGAGCAACAACTGAACTGTGGCTGTCATCGTTGTACAGTGGAGCAACGGGACCCGGAGATCACATGTGCAGTCAGTTTACAGGCAAACGAGACGGGGGTCTGCATCTCACTGTGTATCCCAAATGATGTTCACCTGAGACTAGAGACACACAGACAGCACCTACCTTCCTAATATTTCCAACAGTTCAGCTACGCCATTGAAGTGCTCTGTTTCATAAACAAACCTTAAAAGACAAAAGAGGAGTGGAGGGGAGGGAATGGGAAGGGGGGGAGGGAGGGCACAGGGAAGAGGGATGGACTAAAGTCAGTATGTCATGTTCATATACTGGAGGTTTACTTCTCTAACAATGTCAACTTTGCTTCTGCTGCACCCCCACCCTCCACTTACCTTAGAAAAATATTGTTAATCTGTTTTCGGATAAATGCTCTAAGACCAAGGAACTTGCCATAAATTCTGTGTAAGACTGTCTTTAAGTAGTCCCGTTCCCGAGGGTCTTCACTATCAAATAGCTCCAAAAGCTGTTACAAAGGAAAGACAGCACAGTTTAAGACAGCACAGTTTCAGTTTCAACAAAGAACTTAAGAGTGCTACTCTTCATTAGTTTAAAGCGTCCTGTGGGGCGTGGGGGCGCACACCTGCAATCCCAGCACCCAAGAGGCTAAGGAGGGAGGATCACCATGAGTTGAGGCCAGCCGAGACTACACAGTGAGACCCTATCTTAAAAGCCCTCTCTTTCTTCCTGTCTTAAAGTGACTGACTATCTGCATGTGCCAGGCACAGAGCTCATCACTTGGAATATGACAAATGACTCAAAAGGGCTTCTCACCCATGGTGCTTGGTCACTGGACCCACAGAGAGGAATACAACGGCACCCACCCCAAGCCCCATCTCAAACCAAGCACTCAAATTTACTCCAAATGGAGATTCAACCTAAAGGTAAGAAGTAAATTATAAAACAGGAGGAAATGCATGAATGAATCTTCATACGCCAGACTAAGTGATGACTTTTTAGATATGACATACAAAGTAACACAAAGGAAAAATATTAAGACTTCTTCCCTGGCAAGTGCAAGGGCCTGAGTTCAATCCCCGGTTCCACCCCCCCCCCCCCAAAAAAAAGCTCAACAAGAAAAACACAAATAATTTAGAAACAGACATAGTGTTTTTGAAGAGATCCTGCTCAGAGAAGGTATCTAAATGGCTAATAAGTAAACAGAAGTTCGATTTCACTAACTACAGAAATGCACATCAAAACAAGAACACAATTTGATGGCTATAATTAAAAGAAGGGTAACAAAAAAGTTTTGGTAAGGATGTGACAAAACCAGAACCCTTACACATTCTGGGACGGGATATAACATGGGATATAACATGTTGCATCCACTTCAGAAACACTTGGTGTGGGGGTACTGGCCGAAGGGGCCTTCTGGAGCCACGAGTCCCAAACCTCCCAGAATGCAAGGTTAGAGATGTGAAGACCTCCTGCAGGGCCATGAATCCCAACAGGATCAAACACACTCCCTGAAGGAATGAGTTCTCTGGCCTCGTCACACAACACCCCAATACCCACTCTATTACCTAGGTTGACCCTAAGATCAGTTACATGTCAGACCACCCTGGCCTTCCCCAGCCCTGCATGAATTTGTCCTCTCTGTATCCTGCATCCCTCACCCCCCAGTTCCTCAGAGCTTCCAGTTACTTGTAAACAATTCCACTTCCGGGGATTACAAGCAACAGAACTGAAATCACATAACTATACCAAAGCTATTTAGAAAGGGTGGAGAGTGGAAAGTGAAATGATCTAAGTGGCACAAGTGATGAAGGGATACACAAAATGCAACAGAAGTATAGTATTATTCAGCCATAAAATGAAACGAGTAGTACACACCACTGTATTATTAAACACTGATAGACTTTCCTAAGCATCAAAGCAGGCAAAATTATATAATAGACTTAGAAAAATCCAGAGGCAGAGCAGCATCACGAGTGACTACAATGGTGTGAGGTTCTGTGATTATACGGTAGTGACGGCTGCACAGCTCTGTAAATAATTTTTTTTAAATACTGAATTGCAATTCGAGTCAGTGCCCAGGCCCATTCTGAGTGGGACCACCCAGAGCCTGATGGATCCTCATTTGAGCCAGCTCCCAGGCCCAGAGTGAGTGGGATGCCCAGGCCCCGCCAGAGCCTCACTCCAGGCAGCACCCAGGCCAGGCATGTGCATGGAGCTTCCTCCATCAGACAGGCCCGGTGTGGAACCCTGTGGCAGAACTCCCTGCAGAGAGGTTAGAAGCAAGACCCACCCAGCTGATCCAGGAGCAGAACGTCTTGCCAGAGTGGCCCAAAGGGGTCACTTCCAAGGGCTGCAGTAGGAAGAGGTGCAGCACAGCAGCCAGGCCCAAGGCACACCCACCTGGATGAGCTTGAACTTGGTAGATCCAGACCTAGTGCTAAGGTATGAACTATACCAAAGCTCTACACCAAAGGTCAGAAGAGTGCTATACAAGGTGACAAAGAGGAGCAAAATGCATTCTCAGGCCCCAAGCCCACCCAGAACAAATGCAGGAGACAAAAGCATAGAAGAAATAGGAAATCACACACCTGAAATCTCTGAAATAATAGTGTCCGAAGTAAAGAAATAACTGCAGGAGGGTACAGAGGAAATCAAATCAGAAATAATTTCTGAAGTTAAAAAAAAGAAATAACTATAATGAAAGAAGTACTAAGTACTTCTAAACAAGACACTGATAAAAAAAAATAGAGCAGAATATAAAAATGATAGAATCCTTGAATGAGCAACATAGGAAAGAAATAGAATGCATGAAGCAGATTCAAAGTGTTACACAGGAAATTAAAACCTCAATCACAAGTTGGCAAACCCAACTGAATGAAAATGAAAATAGACTTTCAGACTTTGAAGACACCATTGCAGCTAGTGAAAAAGAAAAGATCTCTTAAAAACAACTAGGATGCAGGAAAAAATAATTCAACATCTGCAAGATGATGTACAGATGAACAATGTAAGACTAATAGGCATCAATGAGAAAGAAGAAGTCAATACAAATGATATAAAAAGAATATGATGAACAAAAATAGTAGCAGAAAACTTCCCAAATATGGGGAAACAATCTGACATTCTGGTAACCGAAGCAATACAGAACTCCAAATAATATCAACCCAATTAAAAACACACCCAGACATATAATCATCAAGATCCCAGAAATTCAGCACAGGAAAAATATACTAAAAGCTACTAGAGAAAAGAAACAGATCACATTTAAAGGAAAACCCATCAGCATAACAGCAGATTTCTCTTCACAAACCATCAAGTCAAGAAGAGCATGGAGCAAAGTACTTCAAGTCTTACAAGAAAACAAACTCCAACCCAGACTGATATATCTTGCAAAACTCTCTTTGAACTTTAATGGAGAATTGAAATACTTCCATGACACAGAACAACTAAAGAATTTCATGACGACAAAGCCAACCCTACAAAGACTACTAAAAAATATTCTAGAAAAGGATCAAAATGACCAGAACTCCATGACTAAGAACAGAAAGAACCCACCAAATGGGGCAAACAAACAGTAGAAAAGGAGGTATACAATAGCAGTCTTTCGATTATTCTTTTGTATACAGCAGCAAAATATTTCCATCAACATACTCTACTAATGGACTTCTCCTGCATCTATGGGTCATGATTCTATCCAGGTGTACAAGGTGGATATCAAGGAAATAGCAGTAGCTCAGTCCCACAAGTGACTCCTGGCCACCAGTAAGCATTATGGACACTGTCCACATCCACCACATACTAGAATTTTGTGTGATATCCCATCCCAAAACTGTTAGAAGTGTTGGTCATATATTTTCCATTCCAGTATTTCTGTTATGTTTTATTCTTAGTAATTCTTCACTATCATGGAAACTTTTTTAGCTGATATTTGTATATATATTAACCTAATGAAATACTATGTGAGTACTATGAATTGATCACAGATTCATACATATGATATGCAACATTCTGGCCTCTTAGTTGGAGTTACAATTTAATTTTAATTTTGGAATATTGCTTTGAAATATTTAATTAAATTAATATTTGATTACTTTCCTGAAATTGCTTAATTTTAATTGTTTTATGATTTATACTGTATCTTTGACTTACAATCTACTTATAAGACATGGTATGATATTTTCTCCTGGTGTTAGAAACTTTAAAAAGTATATTTCCATTTTCCATTGAAAAAAATACTGAATTGCAAATTTTAAAAGTTACTTTATATTATATAAGTTATAAACTCTTCATCATAAGTATCCTGCATCCAATGGAAGGCTAATATAAACATTCAATAAACCATATGACATGACTCAACAGTGCCACAGATCAGCAAGGCTCCACACTGGACATGCAGGGCACAACCACCCACCAACGCCAAGCCAGCTCTGTGCTTACCCTTGCACAGGGGAGCCGAGGCAAAGACTAACCAAACAACCCAATCCTGAGTGCGACAGCTCCAAGGGAGAGGGCAGAACAACCAAAACTAAGACTTCCCATCTTTCAAGGGGAGGCGAGGATGCCCTGGAATGCATGGTACCACACAGTCTGGGCTGAATGGGGACAGGGCCTCTAGTACAGGGAGGGGGCCTAAACCCACAGGGCCTAAATACAGGTAGGCATAGAGAGTCATGACTGGCTGAATTCTAAGACTGCAGATCTTGAAAGAAACCACTCATTCAATAACATAGAAATTCTTTTCTTTGACTCAATCTTTCTCTGATTTTTCTCTATTTTGTTATTATCTTCCTTTCATCAGGTTTTCCAGATGCTCGGGATGTTTCTCTCCCTTTTCACTTTCTTTCCCCTGTTGCAACTTTTCTTATCTTTCTTCCATTTCCCACGTCACTGTGCTCATCTTCCTCTTGTCCCTGCTTCGCTGTGACTGCTCCTTTCCTTTTCCCCTCCAATATGATCCCCACCTCACTTTTCTCTCCTACTTCTCATATCCCACTGGTTAAATTAGAAAATTTTGTTTCCGTTCTTCAGTTCTCTCTCCCTCCACCTTACTAGTATAACCACTAACCTGTATGAATCTCTAGATAGATAATAAATTTTACACTGTTGTTTTTCGAATACTGTGCTACTCACTGTTAGAAGAGGCAAAGTTGTTCCATTACTAGACACTCACTGTTGGTCCACAGCAAACCCACATTTGGTTCCTCTTAGTATTCATACTATAATAATACATCTCTTTTCATTATTGGCCCCTGGGATTAGCCAATATTCAGGGTCTACCTGACACTATGATTGATGTTGATTTTATTGCTACAGCCAAGTTAATATAGCTGTTGCTTTTAATTGGTTCTATTTGGAGGTCAATATCATGACTGCCTTTGAGTCATAAATGATACTGTAGTCCACTCCCAGAGAACTGGATACTAAGCCAAATACATTCCCGTGGTAAGTAACAGAAGATGGCTGGATCCTGGGAGTGATGCAAAGGTGAACAGATAACTATGCTAG